CAGCTTCTCCATTGATTTGCTCAGCATCCACGTTGAATAATTATGGTGAAAGAAAACAACCCTGTCGCACACTTTTCATAATTTGAAATCATTCAGTGCTCCCGTGTTCTGTTCGAACAACTGCCTCTTGGTCCATGTATAGATTTCTCATGAGCACAATTAAGTGTTCCGGAATACTCATACTTCACAATGTTGTCCATAGCTTGTCATAATCCACATAATCAAAAAAGCCTTTGCATAGTCAATAAAGCACAGGTTAACATCTTTCTGATTTTCTCTGATTTCAGCCAAGATCCATCAGACATCAGCAATGATATCTCTCATTCCACAGCCTCTTCTGAATCCAGCTTGAGCCTCTGGAAGTTCCCTGTTAATGTATGCTTGCAGCCGTTTCTGTATTACCTTTAGTAAAACTTTACTTGCATGGGATATCAAAGATATTGTCTGATGACTTCCATATTCCATTGGGTCACCTTTTTTGGAATGGGCACAAATATGGATTTCTTCCAATCAGTCAGCCAGATAGTTGTCTTCCAAATTTCTTAGCATAGATGAATGAGTGCCTACAGTGCCGCCTCACTTTCTTGGAAGATTTCAATTTTTATCCCATCAATTCCTGGAGCCTTGTTCTTTGCCAATTCCTGCAATGCACCTTGGACTTCTTCCTTCAGTATCATTGGCTCTTGGTCATATGCCACCTCTAGAAATGGTTGAACATCAACCATTTCCTTTTGGTACATAGTATAGCTGGTATTAAATGTCAAGAAGTTGGCTTAGAGTTTCAGAGGCTTTAAATCTTCACAGTAATAGAAAGTCTCATCTTTATCCCATGGAGCAACTGGAGGGCTCAAACCCTGGATCTTTTGCTTATCGTATAGAGACACATTTCTCCCCTGTGTAATCAACAAGCTAAGATATATGAAGAAGAACAAGACATCAGGATTGGAAGAAGACTCAGTAATAACCTACAATATCCTAAAGATACAACCTTGATTGCTGAAAGTGAAGAGGACTTAAAATACTTATTGTTGTAGATCAAATATGGGTTGTACCTCAATGTAAAGAGAACAAAAATCATACCACTGAACCAAGAAATAATATCATGATTAATGGAGAAGAGACTCTGCAGTTGTCCAAGACGTCATTTTGCTTGAATTCACTATCAACACTCATGGAAATAGCAGTCAAGAAACCACAGGACATGTTACATTAGGCAATTCATTTGCTCAACGTATTCAAGAACAAAGATGCCAGTTTGAGGACTAAGGTGTGCCTTCCCCAAGCCATGGCATTTTCACTAGTCTCTTCTGCATCTGAAAGTTGGGCAATGAATTAGGAAGACCACAGAATTGATACATCTGAGTTATGGTATTGGAGAACAGTATTAAAAGTAACTTGTACTGTTGGAAGAACAAATAAATCTATGTTGGATGAAGTACAGCCAGAATGCTCCTTATAAACCAGGATAGCCAGACTTTGCTTCTCATAATTTGGACATATTATCATCAGGGACAAGTTTCTGAAGAAGGATATCATTCTTGGTAGTGGAGGGTCAGTGAAAAAGAGAAAGACCCCCAATGTTATGGAATAGCACAAAAGCAGAATCAGTGGGATCAAGCTAAACAATGATTGTGAGGATGTTACAGGACGCGACAGTTGTGCATAAGGTCACTGTGAGACTCCATGGCACCTAACAACCACAACATACTATATATGTGTGTATATACGTTTGTATGTATGTATGTATGTATGTATGTAGATAGATAGATAGATAGATAGATAGATAGATAGATAGATGAAATAATCTTTTCATATGTACCAGTTTTCCCTAAAAGTAAATAACACAGTACGTAATTGGTATTTAATTGCAACTTTATACTATTTACCTGTGTCTTTTATTTAGAAAATTAAATGTTATTCATTACTAATTAAGTCTTTGTAATACTACAAAGTGTGTCTTTACCAAGAAATGAAAGCACCACCTTTTATAGCAATAAGCATTAGCCCTACACACTAGGTTAAACGCTAAGGAAAAGAACCCAAAATTAACACAGGGCTCTCAACAAGAGATGGTGGGTATGCTAAGGTTCGAATCTAACGCTGCATTCTGAATCAAACTCAACTTCTGCATCAGGAATATAGCCTGTCATTTCTGTAACTCTCCACTATTGTTAAGTGTCACTGAGTTGACTCTGACTTATAGTGACCCTGTAAACGGCTTCTGAGGAGAAGCAGCTGGTGTGTTTGAACCACTGAACTTGCTGTTAGCAGTCCAGGGCTTATTCCATAGCACCACACTAGGCCTCTCCATAAACTCCGAGGAAATTCCTTGGCAGACAATTTTAGAAAAGAGAGTGATTTAGTTTGCTTCAAGGTTTTGCTCAAGAATACACCCTGATCAGGAAACCAAGTCTAAAATAATTATCAGAATACATGCTTTCTCAAGATAATCCTTTTAATTATGAATCACCTCCCTGTAATCAAGCAAGGAGGATTCCATGATTGTTTCCTGAACTGATATGCCCAATGATATTTGTACCTTAAAAAAAAAAAAAATTAGAAAATGTAATTTCTTACCAATCAGCTCTAACCATTACCTAAATATAAACCAATCACTGAAATTTGATTGAATTTTCCTATATTTTTAATAAAAATTTTCTGAATTGTTTTGTCCTCAGACTACTTAGCTCAGAATGCTCTGGACCTGTGATAGCCAATTCGCTCTCTCTCTCTCTCTCTTTTTAACTAATCTTTCAATATAAAGCTGCTTGCTTTGATTTTTTTTAAATGTTTTATTGTGAATTATGTGATAGTTTACATGGGAGAACATTAGCTTTACATTCATCCTATCGTATATCGTTTCATTGCCATGGTTACAATCCCCTCCATGCACCATCAACCAACCAAATGCTATACCCTGCAAGCCTGATCCCTGGTCATCAGCACACAGCCCCTCTCCCTCTCTGGGGCTAGAGTTGCCAGCTGCTCCATCTCTCTACTTTGTCTCTGCCTCCACCTCTGGAGTCACTGTTTCTCTAGGTAGGGTCCTTCACTCTGCTCTTCTCTCTTGATGGTTTCAGAGACCTTCACTCCTAGACTGCAAAGTCAACCACTCCCCTCCTTTTGCTACAAAACATCTACCTTTACATTTCCAACCCTCACAGTCAGTCCTGATAGTAATTATTCACTATTGTACCACAAAAGTCTTGTCCCCATCTCCTTTCATCAGCCCCATCCAGACAGATTGGAAACCACTCTGTGGAGAGTCTACCTTCCTCAGCACCCTCTGGATCTAGCCTCCCTCTTGGAAAGCTTGTAAGCCAGTCACTTCTTGCCTTTGTGGCCTCCCTCCCCCATTTTGGGTAGCCAATGTCCAAGTTGCCCATCCCTGCCTACCCTGTGTATTGAGGCGGTGGGAATTTGTTGTAAAGATTTGTTCCCTCTTTTGAGCTACTGTATCCATAGGTGTAGATCAAGTTCATCAAATTGTATCAGATGATTCTTTTTTTCCCTCTTCTTTCTTCTTCTAGTTAAACTCTGATCATCCAGCCACTGAAACCAGGTCAAGTGGGTATTATCTGCAAGTGTGGGTGTTCTTGTGTACATGCCCTCTCTTTTTATCAGCTGGATGCTTCACTCTCCACTCTAGTCCTCTGTGTCTATGTCACTGACTCTGGGCCCAAGAGTCCCCAGGTCTTGCCAAACTGCTGGCCAACCAGGTCTCCACCCGGGTTCACAGGAGTCTATTGAACGTGGATGGACTTAGCTCACAGCTTCATTGCTGTTTTTCCCTCACTTCCTCTTATTGGTAGCCAATGTGGTCACCAGTCAGAGCATGTGCCTGCTTGTGTATTCCCCCTGAGTCTCAGTCTTGGAAGGGGGTTTGCCCAGAGGGGGACCCGACCACTTGCCTTGATGTCTCCTGGGTGAGCAACTTGCTTGATCTTGAATTAGTCAGTTGGACTGCCATTATTGTTTTGATTTTTCCTATTGGTTTTTCTTTCAAGAAGTATCTTCTGTTTTTCTAGCCACTCCAGGCTGGTCTGCTTGTCCTTTCAATAGGAAATTTCCTACCTCAGGAGATTCTGGATGGGGTTCAGGATTCCACCTATGGTCTAATGTAATGCAGAGGCTCTGCAGGAAGCCTCCTTCACTGGGCATATTGTAGCCCCATTTTAGGTATTACAATCAGTTATAGGCAGAAGACAGACTTACAAGCTTTCTATGGTGATATTTCTGGTTATTCCTTTCTCTCCCACTCAAGTGTCTATTTTATAATAGTATGCCAGGGAAATCAAGATTCAAAAGACATTCAAGCATCTTAACATTATTTCCCCCCTTTTGTCCATTCGAACCATGTCTCAATCCTTGTATCCCAGAGCCCTGTTGTTCCAAAATTGTGTATACATCATTATTTACCTCTGTCGTACTTAGCCCATGCAGACCAGCCTATTTGTTTTCCCATCTGCCGTGTTCTTCCATTCCCTCCCCCTTCTTGTGTATTGTCCACCTCCTTAGCACCCAAACTATTCTGTGTCTATTCCCTACCCTGTGCTCTGCCTTCGTCTCCCTCTTGTTTTAATTTTAAGAGATTTCAGATTATGCTTTAACAAATCCATTTCTTGCAGAGTAGCATAGTGATTATGAGATGAGCTGCTAACTTCAAGGTCAGCAGTTCAAAACTACCAGACTTTCCACGGGAGAAAGATGAAGCTTTTTGCTCCTGTAAAAATTGTTGTTGTTGTTAAGTGCTGTCGAGTCGATTCCGACCCATAGCAACCCTGTATAGGGTTTTCAAGGAGCAGCTGGTGAGCTTGAACCACCTGTAAAGATTACAGTCTTGGAAACCCTGTGCAGGGTGGCTATGAATCAGAACCATCTCTACAGTACACACACCTCCACCACCATACATTTATAACACAGAATAGGGAAGTAGTCCTCTCCAATTATACTTCATATGCATAATGTCTGTACTTTTACACAGAGCATCACATACTTACAGGTCTGGGTTCAACTTGGTACAGAGTAGATCCTGATCTCCAAACTTTCTCAAAAGCATGTGAGTCAGAGCTTGGTCATTGTTCTTGCTGCTGCTCATGGAAAGACAAAGTAGTTAAAGAAGGTATTGTTAATAGGCTTTGCTTTCAGTAATGCCACGTAATCTTGCCAAGCTGAAGCAAACAAATTATTCCTATTAACTGAAATAAAACTGAATTTTTAGTGTTTATAGGTACGTAAAAGCAGTAATAACATTGAGAAATTTCTTTAAAACATTTGTTACCACAGATATGCAAATTTTATATATTTGTATTTGCAAGTATAAATATTACTTTATTTGCTTATTTCATTAATACTTTTCCATACTATCTTGTCTCATATTTGCATATGTTTTTAATGAAATTTAAAGACTATATGATATCACATTATGTTAATAAGTTAAATCTATAAAACTATTCTCTCATTGTTGGAGGACTGGAATTGTTTGGATATTTTTTTCTATTATATTATGCAATAATAAGGAAGTTTACTACATTTATATGTTTTTGTGTCTGTATGTGAGTTATATTAAAATACATCTTATAAAATCTTCAGAACAGTAACGTTTGTGTGCTTTAAGTGCATATTGAATTATAGTATTTTTTTACTGAAAACAGTCTAAAAATTCAATAAATAGTTGACAAAGTAAAAAGAACAAAGGCCATCAATACTGAATTTCCTTTTTTGAAGATAAATTCAGAGTTTAGAAACTCAATACTTCTAGATTTGGGTGAGGTGGGAAAACAAACTCTACTATATATATATAT